AATGACCAACACAAAGGGGGGGGTCTCTCCGTCTCATACCTTGCTGCATATGTTGGGCGGTAGTCCCAGAGGCAGAACACCTACTAGGAACGACAGGTGTAGAATCGACTGCCCTGTCTGTAGTTGCCTGCGTTCCATAGCGGAGCTGATGCTTGGTGCTGACAGGCAATTTGAGCTGTGCGCTATTAGATCGTAATTTTGTGCTGTGTGCATCATGGCCAAATTTCTGTTTGAAACTTTGTGCCAGTTTCGGCACTGCTTTTACGCCATAAAAGGCATCCTGTGTGGAGAAGTTCTAGACCAGGCGATGGCAGAGGTGGTAACAAGTCAACTTTTGCAAGTCTGAGTCAAGTCACAAGTCATTTGTTCCAAGCACAAGTCATGTTACGGGTCATTTGATCACAGATCAAGTCAAGTCAATTCAATTATTATATTTCATTATATTTAATATGATCATCAACTGGGTATTGAAGACACCATGTGACTACTTGAGTTTGAAAGATTGAACTGAGTGACAGCCAAAGCTGAACTAGAGACTGATCGCTGGTTTCTCGAGACCTCGTTTGCCAAGGACTAGTTGAAGCTACCTATCACTTTGACGTTCATTTTTTAATTTTAGAGATTGGTTTCAAGTAGCTGTATTCTATAAATAAGAAAAACTCATATTATTTGTTACACGGGGCATTAAAAAATGACATTCATTTTAAGTTCAAGTCACTGTTTGTTTATCTGAATTTTGGGTAAGAAGGATCAAATGTGATGCGAGTGGAAACACTCTGGAATCCTTTTGAATCATTACAATTGGCCAAAGACTAGGAGTTGGTGATAATCCAGCATAAAGTGCAAACATGAATTCAGCTTGTCAGGTTGAGGTCTTATTATTTTGAGATATTGTATATTCACTTGAGCACTTCTGATATTGAAATTTGACTGAACTGATGCCTGATGCATAAATCAGTCATTGCTGAAGCAGGAAGATCAGTGACAGTGACCTACTTTGAAATGTTGAAAGCGAATTTTGGCTGTTTTTGTTGAAACCACTGATTTTATTTTGTATGTTTCGGTTTTGGATATTTGTAAATACTTTCAGAACAGTTGTAAATAGGAATCCATTTAAACAGAATAATGTGCTTTGATGTCCTCAATAATGTGTGATCCCGGCTGTCCAGTTCTGAACTGTGACAGCCTGTAACGGTTTCCCTTTTGAGGTTTCTGAATTCGCTTATTGTTAATGCACACATGAAACACAATCATGCACTTCAGAATGCAGTTTTTTGGGTGTTACTCGGATTTAGTCCTTTTTAGATGTGTTGATATTGATCATGTGGATGAATTTTACGAGAACATGCAAGTTCTACAAGCTAATTCACACTCACGTCCACCCTTCCTGCTGCTCTCAACAGTATTACAAGCCGACGTCAGTGGGACGGTGCGAGGTTGTGCCTTTCTTCCAATCGGCGAGTTAGTGGATGGTTGCGTCAGCTCTACGGACACCAACGGCTTGTCCTTGTTTTCAGACTTGTTGGGGTTCCTACTTGAGTTGTTCAGTTCGATTTCTGACGTTGAAGCCACGTACTGCTCATGCGAGCGGGATTACTGCAACGCGGCCCCTGCTTTGTCCCAGACTGCTCCACTAGTGCTGATGATTGCTTTCCTGTTCGGCCAAGCATTTGTGCAGTAAAGAGGTTTTTTGAGCGCATGGGACAAAATTTAGTATTTCTTTTTTTTATGTGAAACGCAGCTGTAGAATGTGTTGTTGATTGACAATATCACTCTTTTTGTCTGTGTGCCTTTTTTGTCTGATTCGTATTCCGTTTGTCCACCTAAAACTGGCCCCTTTAAAACTTGTTGGTGTTTATGACCCTTGAAACTACACGATGTTTGGATACATGGTCCAATCCCTGCTGCATCGTATAAGTGTCTTTCAGGTAATTCGATGAAAGATGAAGTTTTAAAATTGTTTCCTATCTTTTAGAAGTAAAAACTAAACTTCGATTTTCAATTATGTTACCTGACCCACACAATTCTCAAAAACAGTCCCAATTGTTGCACATTGAAAATTATGAACGGTTCCTTAAATGTGAGAAAGTGAAAAACCTTTTGAGGTTGTCTCCCATTAATTCACTCTTTTAGAGTGACTTTACCCTGCGAGCTGAGGTGAAAAACTGCTCCAAAGGATACAAATACTGCTTTAATTGCCTGAGAGACCGAGAATAATTAGTGGAAAAGGTTTTCCCCTCTATATCGCTCTTGATTAGAGTGGTTTTCACTCATAAGAAATTGTTGATGTAGTTTTAGTTGTGAATGGCTTGCTCTAGAAAGCCCCACACCAAGTGTGAAAAGTGGCAATTAACAAATGCAAAGACTGATCCAGTACCAAATGGGGGATAAAAGTTACATAATTTTAGCCAGTCTTACATGGACTATCTGGGGAGGAGGCTACATCTATGAGATTTATGCAATTTGGGAGGAAGGGAGATAAAACCAAAATGTAATCACAACAAAATCACTTTTCATTATTTTCTTCACCATTTTTGGGCCCCGGTATTAACAGTAGGGACATCTCCTTCGTTGGCTCCCGTGGATCCGCTGGTGTTCCGAGGCAACATTGGGCGTTCCGACCATGCGCTTCTTACCCATGCACGTCGTAGGCCCCCTACATTTTTTGTGAACGTCTGTTGGGCACTGGTCAAAAACACAATTGGCTGGGGCTGAATTGCAATATTTTTTTCTTTGACACAATGCTTTTGCTATTTCATACTCTTTTTCAATGTACAAAAACTAGTTGACATCCCTCTTGGGTTGAATGCATTGAAAAGTGCACTATTTTAAAATTATCAATGCTCTCGTGGACAATTGAGTGCGCTGTTGCTGTGACTTCATCCTGATTAAGTGCACAGGTTTTTCGCTACAAATTGTAATCTCTGAACTTACTCTCTGAAAAATGTCTGAGAATGGGTTGGTTACTTGTTTCTTGCTTTGTACTTACAGAACATTGGATCACCAAAGGAAGAAAATTTAGACCAGCAAATCTAAAAAAAAAGAAAAGAAATAAAGTCCAGAAAGTTTGTTCATAAACCAATGTAACATTGAAGTTTTCTTTGTGATAACAGTTGTGATCATGTGTAAGGAAACAGTCATGAGCAAAATAACATTTAAAACAGTGAAACCAACACTGAAATGAAGTTAAAGGAGACATAGAGGTGCATTTTGGAGGTTCAAAAATTCAACTACAGGGACCCATTAAAACATTAAACCTCCTCACTTGTACCCAAAAATAATGGATGCTGCAAGGTAGCATTTTTGAGGTTCTTGATTATGTCCCAATAGGATGTGAAAGGGTAGACCTTCTGTAGAAGACTTCGAGAAAACATTCTTTCCTGGAATAGCCTTGAAGAATTCACTCGTGCCGGAGGCCTTAAACAGAACACCGGCATGGGCCAATTTCCTTAGGCTTTATGACGTAATTTCTTCAAATCCTCATTGGACTAAATCTAAACATTTATAGGCCTATGGGTCTCTGGGTCCCTTGTTTGCTCTGTGGTTAAGGTAATAGGTTATACTGAAGGCGCTCGGTTATTTCCGTCACACATTTTTCAATTATTCCAATGGGATAGTTGGGACACCGTTTACAATACAGACATACGTCTGAAGTATACATGTTCTTAAGGGCATGAAATAACCTTACATTAAACAAGATGATGTATTTACAATTTTCCAACTTTTAATTCTCCGTTTTGACCGTTGGCAAATTTGAAAAGAACTAAAGACCACACCATTTGGTTTTAAACTTCAGAGGTGTGTGTACATGTGTGTGTGGGGGGGGTATAACATAAACTGTACTTTTCTTTAAGCAAAAGTGTACGGGGATTAACCTCGTGATTCCATGTCAAATGTCAGTTTTTGAGCATGAAACGGATACTCTTGAAAGTGTTGTCTTCACGCGTGCACTCAGGCTGAACCTTTTGTGTGTGTTTTCATTATTGTATGAGAAAGCCATTTCATGAGATGTTGGTATTTTACAGTAAAGGCATTGGCAGGGCGACGTATTGCAGTGACACAAGTCACTCATGCACCAGTGTGCTTTCAGGTGCATGACGGGACGGAACCGGGCCTTATATAGGGGAACAGAAAATATTCAGTTTTAAGTGTCAACAAACACCTAATGGGCGTCTTTCCATATGCGCGTCCACACTTGTGCCAAATGTTGCGTATTAAGTAAATGGGTCGATGTCCGTGAAAGTGAAACACGTAAACGCCTCGTGTAGGGCCTACGCAACACACCCAAAAACGCACACATGGAAAGGCGCCTTAACCGTGACTGCCGCGTCTAGGCCAGGTTAACTTTTGATTATATTTATCTTTCAACATAACTACTTTGTTGTGCGACTACCTTTTGCTCTTTAGTTTCCCTTATCTAAAAACCTAGAACATGGGAAAAACTTATTTTGTCTTGTCTTTTCTTATTAGGCAGCACACTCATTATGTACTTGATACATTTTATGATTACGAGTTAGTGCCAAAATGCCAGTAGCACGTTTTCTTTCTCAGTTTAAAAAAAGTCCATGTGATATTATTTCATTTAAGAACCCCAGGATCATTACGTTTCTTGGAAACATGCCAAATGAGCACTACAGGGCATCAGCGACAATAACGAGAAAAAGAACAAGGGAAAGAGTCCTCTAGATGATCCAAAAGGGACCAGACTTTCCACAGAATGAAGACTTCATGCAAACGACGTCAAATTACTTTTGGCAAAAAGTGTCATTTCAGAAAAAAAAAGATTGCTGATTATTGATGCATGATTCTAAAGGTGTGATCGATTTGCCCCCGTGTTTCGTGCTAAGTTAAGCTTGCCGTCAATGAGACCTCTTCCACTTTGCATTAAGAAATAAAAGGTTTCACACTGACTGATTTAACAATCTGCTTCAGTTTGAGTCTTCCCAATTGTAAGCAGACATTGCGTCGTATTTTTTGCTTTTTAAGCTGCCATCGAAAAAAAATTGAAAAAAGGAAGAAATTCAAATAAAGGGTTTCAAATTATTCTCAGACAAAATTTTTGAAGTTTGTTACTCGAGTCTACAATTTTTCGAAAGGATTCACACGGTTTCAGGGATGTAGAAATAATTTTGGTCGAACATTTTACACAGAAATGAGGAACTTTGAGGCGTCCATGAGGCCAAACGAGTCAGTTTGAAACAAATCCAAGACTTTGTTGGGCTACGTTACGATCACTCTGGATTTCCCTACCACTTTGCTCGCACAGCTCGATATGTCGTGTAAATTATGTGGTATTGGAATGGAGTTGCAGTGCATTATGTGTGCACACAACGCTCAGCCGACGTTATAAGTTCGAGTGCCCTAATAAATATTAATAGATGCTGCCGACGATAACCGCTGTCTCTGCCCGGTCACGCTGGCGTGTGCACCGCCCATTGGTTAACTGCTAGCAGCCGGTTTGTCTCTATTATCTTAGCGTTGAGCGAAGTAACGCAAGAACGCATTATGTGATCAATGCACTTGGTATCACGCGTGAGGTGCCCAAGCTTTCATCAGTCACGGTACTGGACCGCACATAGCTAAATAGTCGAGAGAAACGTGCCCCTAGTCTTGCGTAGTGGTAAACTCACTGCGTGTACCGCCCACGGCAACAAACCCTGCAACCAAAATGCTTACATCGTTGCAACCTGTGATTCATCGAGATCTATATTTAGTCTGTAAGGTAAGCATAATTAAGCCTATGTTGGTCATAAGGGTTATTGAGGTCGAACGAATAAATTAAACTTTGAGAGTTCCAGTTACATACGTTACGGCCCATTGTTTTCTTGGATAGGCAACTTGCCTTGTGATGTCTTTGGGACGTTTTGCCTCACGTGGTGTGTCTCGTCAGTCGTTTCTCGGCTAATTGGGTCAATGCATGCCGCCTATGATCGAGCTCGTGGTGAGAAACTGTCTGGGGTATAAGTTTAGACAATAACTGACTTCATCGCAGCCTTGACAAGAACCTCAGAGTTTATAAAGTAGCTCCATCTGTTGACAAAGATTTTTTATCTTTAACACTTGAGGATGACTCCGTTTCTTCCTGAAAGAATAAGACTGCAAATTGTTGTTAAGTTTCTACTGGAAGCAGATAGTTCTATTAATTAATAAGCCTACAGACTAGATGTAGAGTTGCTAGTCTTCGTACTTGTAGCTTTCTTAGTTGCGAGCTTTATCAACGTTGCCACACACTGGTCGGGATAAATAATCCGTGTCAAACTTAGCAGCAACGTCATAAATCTGCTATGTTTGTCAAAATAATGAAAGAAACTGGTTCAATCAAACTTGGGGTTGGAGAAAATTAGAAGGAATGGCAATTACTATCGTTCAAGTATTGTTAAGTAGCAATTTGACCCAATATTTAACCCAAGAGACCCTGAGCATGGCTCACGTGACCAATCGAGGGCGCATGACACTCCATCCCCTGCCCTGCGTTGAATTGTAATATCGTTCAGGTTTTGTTTTGTTTTACCCCAACAAGGGTACAATTTGGGCGCTGAATGTCGTGCTTCATTTTACGAGACTTCCCAAGCAAGAATGTGTGAAAAGCAGCCTGTACCTTTTTGCGTCAAGTGAGGTGTAAGATGGAGGTTGCATAACCGAGGAGAGATGATTGCACGGTCGCATAATATCGCGCACGCATCCCTTGCTGCAGAACCATTT